GAGATCCCACTTGTTGATTGTTTGTGCTAGTTCACGGGCAACTGAGGTTTTGTTCATAAAATCTTTTCCTACACCAATGTCTTCAAGAGTTCTACTCTCTTTCTCTTCTTCTGTTTCTCTGTATTTTTCTCTTATCCTTTTAAAATTGTTACCTCTTAAACTTGCTATATTGAGGGGATATGTCTTGTATATAATTTTCTAGTTTGTTTTAGATTTTGTTATATAACTATAAATCTTGTTCCTAAAGTTAAAGGAGGCAAATTAATAGTTACCATAGTTTATCATTTTCTAGGCTATGCTTGGTATGCTCTTGTTATTACTGATTGTACTACTTTAGTCAAGATGATACAGTTGTTGTGATCCGTTGTTCTTCCTGCATGTCAATACCAAGAATGTCTGAAGGTCATAAACAAAAAGATATCCAGTACCAAAGAAATGGGTGCTAGGCTAAATAAGCAGAAAGTTCTCATCCCTAATAAATTGGAGATGTAGGATCTTGCAACAGGCTCAAAAGCCAAAAGCAGCTTAGCTTAGAAGACATCTCTGAAAAGCAATCATTTCCCAAGGAGGTCTCAATACTAATAATAAAGCTATCTACCATAAACAATTTACAATAATAAATGCAGAAAAAAATATTTAAAAAATAAAAAATGAGGCAACATGGAAGAAATATGCAACGTAAAACCTCCAGCTCATGCAAGGCAAATCCAGGAAATAATTTTTCAGAAACTTCAAGAGATGGGGATCATAGTGAAAGACATGGTTAGTGAATCTAGAGTAGATACAGATAAAAAAAAATAGAAGAGCTTAGGAAAAAGACAAAAATCTTGAATGTTCAACATAGAAAAGAAATATTCCATGTAACAGATTCATACAAATATCCAAGAGATTAAAAATTCTACAGTCTGCTGCAGACAGGCAGGTCTGCGGACACCGTCCTGAGGTCGTGAGTTGCGCAGAAAACACCAAATCAGTCCACGCCCCAGCAGCAATCCACTGGACACCACCACCACCACCCCTGCTCCTCTGTACAGCCACCTGGTTCCACACTACAGAGACGCAGAGGACACCGGACCACCAGACCACTGTACTGAGTAAGTTAGAGTCATCTTCACCTCCCATCAGGACCAGGACTATCTTCAGGGGAAGGGCAGCTGGAACCTGCAATACAACTCTGCAGAGTTCAACCCTACAAAAGGACAGGGAGCTTAACTTGGCACTTGCAGCCAGAAATCTGCTGGAATCTCATGGGTCTGTGACTAGATTGCTGAAACTCATTGACTTATATCTGCACACTGCTACCCACGTTGTCTATTGTGACAGCAGAGACATACCCTGAAAGAGGCCCTTAATCTTCATTGTTATTTTTTATTCCCAAAATTAGTATTATTAGTTTGGGGTTTTTTCTCTTTTCTTTTGCTCCTCTTATCTTTAATTTTTTTCCTATTCTTTGCAAATATTTGTTTTTCTCTCCTTTTTTTCTTTTCTTCTTTCTTTTCTCTTTCCTTTCTCTCTCTCTTACACTCACTCTCTTGCTCTCCCACATTGTTCATCTTCCCTTTTTGTCCCTGTTTTGGTCTTCAGTCAGAGTTCTTCTTTATTTTCCTATTATTCTCTTTTTCCTTCTCACTTGTGTCCTCT